GATGTAGATAACCGGACAGTTCGGATAGGAGTGCTATTCCTAAAAGTCCACGTTAAAAAAGTACCTCTGTCTAAAAGGCTTGAAATAACTTTCAAAAAGCCTCTGCTACTCTCGCGCTTTCCTGACGTTATCGATTTACACGGCGAGTTTGTTTAGTCACAGTTCTTGCAAAAATCTTACCACACTGTTGTGGGAAGAGCCCTGTAGGAATTGATACATTGAGGAGGTAGGATCAACAACAGGTACATATCAAAAGGCCTCTAGACTAAAACACCTCTCCGCAAAATGGAGCCAAGGACGACAGGACGACACGAACTAATTGTCGGACTCCATCTTCTCCTGTTCTCCCCCACTCTGTCCCCCTTTGATCCCTTTACACCTCTCCCGCCCCTTATCCCCCTAATTACTACTGATTGGTTGCTTAAACTTTTGTTAACTCTACCGTCCCTTATATTATTGTACTTGCCTGATGATGAATTAATCGAAAACGTTCGTTCGCCAAACTTGACTTCCTGAATGCTTACACTATCATCGTTGAACTAAAACAGACATCTCAAAACGCCTAAACGACAAACTATTTCAGACACATTCTGATACTATACTTTTAAAATAGTCATGAACATCATTAGCTCTTGTCACACTTCACCGTCTACCAGAGGCTCCCTCTGTTACGCCTATCCGGTTCTATCGACGTCCGGTCAGACTGTTCTATTTACAGTGACTGTTTTCCGTCGGACAAGAACGCTAACAAAACTAGTTCGACCACCAAACGTACCCTATCACACCGGCAACCAGTAACTTAGTGAAAAAGTGCACGTGTAGGTGTGGCGACTGAATGGCGCACGAAGAGAGAACAGAGCGCAATCGCCAGCAGCATCTGAATAATGTCGACCAGTACCTACGACTGCACATTCTCGTCTGGTCTGGTCTGGTCGAACTGAAGGACCACTGATAGAAATCTTGACCGACAGCCTATCGCGTCCGCTGTCCAAGACCACACTGTAACTGCACACTCCAATCTCCCGCAAGCTTATTCGATTATATGCGCACACTGAAGCATGGCCCGGCACTTGCGCATATATCATTCATTCATTCACCCAGGGCTGGCAGAACAATCCTCCAACGAAGTAGTAGTACAACGATGGCAAAT